GAATTTTCGTTTCCGAAGTCGTGTGATGCTCAAACTTGGTACACAAGGGTAGTTCGACATGTTCTACAACATGGGCTACACGAGAACACGATACGAGAAATTTTAAGGTGGGTTTCGGGCCAAAAACCGATGTTTAGAGGTTTTGATTTTTGGCCTCCCCTGGCCAGACTTGAAATTTTATAAATTTTCTGATCGTGTATGGTTGTAGAAAAATGTTGGCTCTATCAAACTCATATCATACGACAACTCCATGCCATAAGAACGTTCGGCGCTAAGCCCACTTAAAGAAGTTCCACCGCTAGGTGGCGCCAGAAGTCGGTGCAACCTACTTGAATGTTACATTTCCTGATAAAGTTATCTTTTCTCTTTCTAACAACGCAAACCGCACGTCTCTAGCTACTTCCGCTGAGAAGTTATTTAAATTGCAACCAACTGCATTGTCCTATGAAATGGATCGTACTTTTGCTGAACAGTAGCATGTGTAACGATGCAGGCTACACTTTATTATAACGTGTAATTAATATCCCTCAAAAAATCTGACAAAATCACATAAACAAGCATAGATATAGACGAAAATCAAACTTTGTATGTGAATATGGAAACAAAAGTCGTGGATGAAGACCTGCACTTTCATCATCTGTAACTTTAGAAAAAAACAAGAAAGTATGTTTACATCGCAGATCGTCACTAGATGTGTTTCAGTTCGATTAATCGATGTTTCGGTTAAACCGAAACTGAAATAATCGAACATCGGGTATAACTGAATAAACTTTATAATGTGCTCGCTTTTCATTGTTACTGCTCTAGTTTTCAAAATTTGGATAAATTGAAAAGAAAATTACTGATTTTTCTCGTACATGTGAATATAAGTCTAGATAACATTACAAATATTTCTATTATCAAAAAAAAAGATACCCGGCGCCTCTTTGAATAACTCGGCAATGGGAAAAGATATCGAGAAACAGTTTTCGCCGACCTGTAGTCAAGTCTGGGCAGGCATGGGCGAGTTCGTACTGGAAGATTTTTTGACAGACTTGTACTCGGACTGGAGACTTTTTTGAAGGACTCAGACCTGAGTTATCGTATTTCGAGTCCGATCTATTCAACTTTTAACACAAGAGAAAAATGAAAAGCGAAATAACAACATCTTGTGTTTCACAAGAAATTGAAAATTTTGTACATGCGAAGTAACCTTATTTTCCAAAAAATCAAATATCTGTCCAGGTTTAAAAAATTAAAACAGAGAAATAAATTACCCTCATCAAAAAAGAATCTAAAAGATTACTGGACTCGAATTGGGCTGGGGTCTCGGACTCGGTCCTTAATGTTTAGGACGCGGATTTGGCTTGAATTTTTAAGGACTCGTACTCGGCTCTGAATCGCCCATGTCTGATCTGGGACACATCAAACAATGGCAGGAAAAATAATTTTCGCTGGGTTCCCATGGCTTTTCCAGGAGGATCTTTGGCAAACCAGCTGGGATCTTTAGAAACTGAGATAGAGTCTATCAATTTTTTTCTGTTGATAGATAGTCTAAAGTGTCCTCTCCAATATGAGAACTATTTTACTCAAAAATAAGGAAAAGCAGGTTATGTCAACTGATATAGCTTTTGACCAGGTTTTTAAAACTTATTTGAAAAACAAATGTTGCCATGCGATTCGGTGTGATCGATTACCTATGTTTCCATTCGTTTTCGGAATTACCATAAGTAAAGAAATATCGATTCTATGACTCTCAGAAAATCCGATGCCAAGCGTGAACCAGAAAAAATTAAGAGTTCGCTTAGTTCTCATATTGGAGAGGATACTTCGGACTATCTATCAATAGAAAAAAACTGATAGATTGCTATCTCAGTTTCTAGAGATCCAAGCTGGTTTTCCAAAGATCCTTCTGGAAAACTCATGGAGATCCAGTGAAATTAATCCCTTAGAAATAATCGCAACATTTGGTGGCTGAACCAAGTCGTGACTGTAATTTTGTTGGAGATCGAGAACTTTATAATTTTATTGTAAAAGGCATTTTATAACAAACTTACTTCCAAAACGCTTTAGATCTTTTTCTAAATCTTTAATTTGAGCTTGTCTATCTGCTTCTTTAAGTTTCATGATATCTTCCATTGGTGCCTCTACAGATACATATATAAACGCAAACATTTTTACATATACTTATATATACTTCGCAAGATCAATTTCTTTTCTCACCTGGATGTGGACGAGTGGATACTATTGTTATTCCTTCTCGAAAATCTTTAACAAGTCTTCTTGCTTTTTCTTGTTTTGTCTCTAATTCTTGTTGAAGCTTTGGCAATAAATCTGTTTCTTCTTCTTTTATATGTTTCTCAAAATCTGCCATTAATTGATCCAATAACGACTTTATTTGTTCAATGTGCTCAGCTGCATCGTCCGCTAAATCGTCGATTTTCTTGAGATCCGTTTCAACTGTACGATGTTCATCTGCGAAAAGAACGAACAGTTAGTAGCCAACAAGAGAGCTGACTTTAAGTTTATACCAATGGCAACTTTGACTAAATGTTTGCCATCTTTTAATTCAGATTCTACAAGAGGATATAGATACAATGCTTCTTTATGTGAATGTTGAGATAAAGAACGAATTAGTTCGATCAATGCTCGTTTTTTATTTTCAAAATCTTGAGAAGATTTAAATTGTTCATAAAATCCTCGAACTTCTCTAGAAAAAATAATAATTAGTGATTGTGAGCATGAAAAATGTTCACGCGTCGAAAATACTCTTACTTATGTTCTTGTTCGACAGCTGATACAAAATCAGCATCTGTTGACGTCATATTCGTGTTTGTTTGACTTTAACAAAAATATATATAACTATTTAGTCTAATGTAAAACGTTAGATAGTACTGTAGTCTGTCTGAGAAGTGAAGTGTAAGCGAACTTCTGCGTTTCTCAACCAGCGATATTTTTAGAAATATTTTAAGTACAACATACAATACAACTTACTTGAGGGCAGAAGGAATTGTTGTATGAAAATGAACTGAAAGAGTCTATGAATTTTTTCGACAACTACATGTATGTATATATACTGATACATAGCATTTTTTAACAAGAAAGGATGAAAATGAAAAAAAAAGAACATTAAACGTATCTTTTGCAGTTCTTCTTCCACAAAAGAAGGAAACAGATTTAATTAGTGTGCACTGTTACAAAACAATCAATGTCAAAGTTTTCTTGCATACCATGGTCAGTTGCGTGTTCCTAAAATCATTAATAGACTCAATCTGTTCAAAATAGACGCGTTTCTCAGCCATTTAGTTTTTGCGTAGTACAACAACTTACACTCTAAAAACGTTCTCTAATTTCTAGTTGCCAATGTGCCTTGTGCACTGTTTGCTAGTCTTTAAGAAGATATTCCTGTCTTTGTTAGAGCATTATTTTTGCCCTGTACCATGTACAGAAAGATTATTCGTATATCATAGTGAGTGTGTTTTTGCTGATATTAATGAAGATCTTTGCGAGTGTTTAGAAGAGCCATGTTTTGCTGTAATTCAGAAAGGCTTTGTCTTATTTAGCAAGAAATTTTATATCGTTTACTGGAAGAATGTCTTGCTGGACTATAGTTGACATTTTTCTTGTTAAGATTAGTGGCGTAGCCACTAGGTAAGCCGGGGTAGGCTCAGTCCACCCACTAGAAGTTTTATAATTCGCACTGCTCTGCACTAATGTCTACCACTTTGAAAAAATTTGGGGCAATGTCCGGCCACTCACAAAATCCTGGCTACGCCACTAGTTAAGATAATGTCGTATAATTAATCCATTTTGGTTATTTCATTATCAATTAACATCACTTCACAATCTTTTTTGTATAGGACAGCTCGAGATTGGAATTCTCTCCCCAGCGCTGTAGTTACCTCGTCAACAATAAAATCTTTCAAAACCAAACAGAGGCAGTACCTACGGCTGTGGCAGAGAAGAATAGGATAAAAAAAGGTGGGAATTTTTATAGGCGTTTACATCTTTTTTACTTTCCTGACAGCATGTTTATGTATAGGTTAGGCTTTTGTATTGTAAAAATAGAGTTTTTTACAAAACTGCTGTTGTTGAAATAAAAATCAATCAATCAACTCTATACGTTTCATCCGAGTAGACAGTTTTGGCATTCATTCACATTTGTATTAGATTCTGACGTAGAATATGTATTTGTGCGTTGATATTAATGAATTGAGTAATGAGTCGACAAATGATTTTTTAGCGTACATGATCGTATATTAAAAGTGTAGTTGTTGTAGACGGAAGGACTAGGTCAGTCCAGAGAAACCTTTATGCATTCAGTTTACCCCTTTTAAATCAAGGCTTGCTTGTATTACGTTGATTTTCAATTTATTTTTGAAATTTTAAATGTGTCGTTGCTAACAAGCTAATTAGGTTTTCGAATACAATCTGTTAAAGGTACAAACAATTTTTGCAGATGAGGTGCGTTTATAACCAGCGCTTCTTAACTTAAACAAAACGTGTAGTGGATTTTCATCCACTAAAGACCAAATATTTCTTTAGAAACACAAAAGAAAATCTTCTCTTCTTATCAGTAAAAGGTCTGACTAAGTAAACGACAGTTTTTGCTATAGGTAATGAAGTACTCAGATATTTCTCTAGAACATGATAGACAAGAAATATGCTAATCTACGCTGAACATTTTTTTTTAAATACCGCCGGCAAGTGTGGTTACCGTGCGATGTTCGAACCACCGCAGTCTAAAAGAATAACGTGAGGTAACCGTATCTCAGTCAACTTATTTTTTTTTGCATCCGTGATGCTATAAAAGCAACAGAAAATTTCGAAGAACTTGATTTTTTTCAAATCTACTTTTTTTTAGATTAAAGGCTCTTCGAAGTTTGAACTTGGACTCGAGTCAAATTTTCTCCCAATATCGGTCGCCGTGTGGTAGTTTTGATTTACATGGTGATACCTCATAGTATACATTGTAAAAAATAAAGTGCTACAAAAAGTGTTTTTTATGAAAACTATTTTGCTATAAAGCGCATGGCTAAACATAGCCCTTTCAGGTATAGAGAAAATAAAATAAATTTTGATCTGCTGTAAACTAGAGCACTTCGTGAAAAAAGGCACTTTCAAAGTGATTGCAAAGAGAGAATTTTTAAAAATGTATAGTAGAAAGATGCTTTTGAAGTGACCCAAGAGAAAACAGTGTGATATGAAGCATTTTTTTGAAAAGACATTTTTTTAAGTCATGTTGACAAGTCATTTAGCTCTTTTATTTTGCTATTACTACTAGTATATATGTAATGCTGATTTTCTTTGAATAACTTAGAAATTTTTCTCTTGAACGACTATACAAGTCATCAAAGTTTATCTCGAAGAAGTAGCCTTAGTCTATGGATTAGTATTAGTGATAGTATCTGGATTTTGAGACTGGTACTAAGAATAGTTTCATGGTTCAAAGGAACCAAAAATTAGCAAAATTAGAAATCAGATTTATACGTTCAAAATCAAATATAATGAAATTCGACAAATGTCGTTCGAAAAAGTGGCCTAGAGAAGAGCACTTTCAAAATCAATCAATTAATCAGTTTATTTAACACGAATGTGTCTAGGATGTTACAAAAAAGATAAAACTTAGATGAATGTAACGCCTGTATAAACAACGATATTTTGTGGCGCCAATCCTATTTGCAACGGTCTTTATTTGGTTTACTTTACAAGTGACCACTGGGGAGCGCTTTGCAAACTGGTTTTCTTTAAAGCACTTTTCAAAGTGTTCTCTAGCCAAACACTTCAAGAGCACGGCAAAACAAGACCGCTACAAATAGGATCAGCACCACCAAAGAGTGCTTTCTTTTTTACAGTGTACTGGGCAGTAACCGAACGGTATTCTGCCCGTACTGATGACACGGGAAACTCAAGCGAACACGTGTCTCGTCCTATGTCGGACCATGAAATTTTGCTAGTTTATACGGTACAAAACGTAAGAAAAAGTCAGATTGAAAGGTTACTTAACTGTAGAGAAATATTAAGTGGAAATAACCACTTTTTTTCCATGATACATAACTACAGACAACTGTCTTTCTTTTTACTGCTGTTCTAATTAGACATATTTATCTAGCAATGATGGATAAAGTTACACATCGTCAGTGCAGTAATAGAATAAAATATTATAGTGTATAAAAGACTAGAATAGGAGAATTTCTCAAAAAAACGAACAACCCCATCATACTAAACAAAAACAAATTACCCCAACAGGAAAAATCTAAAGCTCCGACTACATTCATACCATAATTTTAGTTTCAAATTCAGTTGACTAATTATCACACTCTCTCTGAATCAGCTTCTGCATATTCTAAGTGTTCAAAACATTAAAGTAGCTAAATAGAGGGAAACATTTTTATACCAAATCTAATAAATCGTTGGACTTCAAACGGTCAACAGAAAATGAATCACATACAAACACTTTTACAGCTCTGACCATCAACGCTCGTTTATGAACATCTTTACAATTTTATTGGGTTAATTCAATACGAATACAGCAGCTAATATGACGAATAGAATAAGAATAGCTAATAACAATAAACATAATCTTAAAGATAAAACTATTCTTCAAATATGTCAAAAACCAGTGATTATCCGTCAGCAGTAATAAATCAAATTTTTTATGAATTTGAGAAAAAAAGTATTAGCTTCAAATAATAAGGGCGAGCAACACTCATCAATTCCTCCTGGTGTAGTAGTAATACCTCATCTTAATGGTATCACAGAAAATTATGAAAACATTTGTCTAAGTTCAACATTAGAATTCATACCACATTAAATCGTAGTTTCGAGGTATTCTAAATAAGTCAAAGAAAATAGCACTAGGTAGTAATAAATTACAACCAAAAAATAAGCATAAAACTACCACAACGAAAATTAATGAATATTTAAATGAATTTGCGGTATATGGGATTCCTCATTACTGTGGTGGCATTTACGTTGAAGAAACTACATCGTTTAAACATCGCATAGTAAAACACGAAAAGAAAATAAGTTCAAGAGATTCTGAGAATTCAGAGTTAGCAAAACATTTTGAAAATGGTAATGTATGTGATATTAATGTTGAGGATAGTATAGTTTATGATAAAGACAAAAATGTATTTAGAAGAAAAAAGCTTGAATCATAGATATAACAGACATAAAACTATAAGTCCACAATGAAAATCTACTATACGAAAATGGATTAAAACAGCCAGTAGTCAAAGATTTTATGAAATGGAAGATCCAACCCCTACAACTTTAGCTACTGCTAGTAAGGTATCCACTACAGGAAGATCCGATACTATGACTGCTGCAAAGCTTGTGAGTATTATAGCCAGAACCACCAATATAAATAGATTAGAGAACAAATTTTATTCGTTAAGAAACCAAAACAGAAAAAGATACAACTAATTCTTCGGTGAGATTTCATGTGCATGCATGAAGTAAGTTGAAGTAATCATTCGAAAATGACTTTCAACAGACTGTTAAGTAAACGAATATATAAGCAAAAATTCCTAGGATATAATACCACATTTATTGATTCGTTTGATCCCACGAGAAACCGGGTGCCTCTTGAACTGATTTGATGATTCCATATTGTTTAACTGCATATTTAATGGTAGCCGGGCCACTTGGTTCGAATTGTTCAACACGAAACGCGAACAATGCTCGAATTTCGCTTTTTGCCAATAGAGCTACATACGTGTGGCCCTGGACCACCAACATATCCTCCTTAAACGTGTTGTCCTGTCCAACAACGCGCTCCCAGTTGAATGCTCGTGAGGCGGTCACATTTTCCAACGCCACATCACCAAGATCGCTCACCAGTCCGAAATCATCACCAGCCAACATCACTTGGAAATAGTTGTTACTGCCACAAGCCCCATTATACAATAGATCGGGCATATTTCTTGACACACCGTAACTGGTTAGAAACAGCGCACAGCCCTCGTAGCTCAATGGACCTGGTTGACAACTGTATGGGTACTTGAATGACATTTCCTTGATAACATGCAGTTCAGGAAGAGTCGTCGATAATTCGTCAAAATTGGTAAATTGTTGTATGAATGATTTCGATTCTACAGCAACAAATGCAACAAATAATAATCCTAATACAGCGTTCATGTTTTATATTTAATATTATTACAGTCGTTCGTATCAACTTAATGCAAGAAGTAATCATTTTTATACAGCTAGAACGGTTAGTGTGATAATCGACATATGGTTTTTGTTGAGTCCTGTGTGACTGTGTTTAGAAAAATCTTTTCGCGATCAAGGTCATGATAAAAAACAAGTAGTTTGCATGAGTAATGCAACGGGTACTAACAAAATCTATGTTATACTATTAGTTTTTTCCTCAATGTGGTACGAATTTTTAGTACTACTGTAAGTTTGCGTTTAGTATTAACAGTTCTTTCCGTATTGGTAGTGACCTTGGTACTACTTTAATCGTATGATTCAGCTAGTTTTCTTCTTATATTCTAAGAAAATATTATCAACCAAAATGACAAAAAACAGAAGTTTTATAACCAAAATAAAATAATCTGCTGTACAACAACACGACAATTCTAGCTCAAGACAAAGTAGAACAAAAATAAATCAAGGTCTCACAAAAAACACAAAATTATCCAAAACAGAAGCATCACGAAAAGCGATAGTGAGAAAATCGTCATATGTGCATCATAAAAAAACACGGTCGGTTCTTACATCATGTAGTCAAACAAAGGTCAACAAAAAAAATTAAGAATTGAGAAGTGTTTAGCACCTACGACTGTTATAAAAAATGATGGATTATCTCATTAAAAACTGTTTAAAACGGTCGTCCTAAGGGTGTATAGTTTTACTGATTGCTGTTTGAAATCAATTAGTTGCAATCTATTTCAAAACAGAGCGACCACGAGTGCTGCTTAGGTAAGTTGCGCGTAAATCGAAAACGGAACCAATTTTTTTTTTTCATTTATCATACATCATTGGATAGAACTTTTCACACTGATCACTAACATGTGTGTTTCGACTTTTCAGAACTGATTTTTCATGTGGAAAATTTTAAAAATTCTGATATTTTCTAATCAAAATCCTGCAGTTAGTATAATAACTGTGTAAGGTTCACTCTCATTATTTGCTGAATTACTTTGCCCGAGTAAGCGCATCGAGGACTAGCAAAACCGATGAGTAGTTTAGTACTACTATTAATTTCTTTCTCAATGTGGTACTAACTTTTAGTACTCATGCAGTATAGTGTTAGTTATGTAGCACTACTCTTTAGCACTATAAAGGGGTTGTTCAATAAGCTCGAAAATGAATAGAAAACATAAAAACACTTTTTAAACTCGTTTTCATTATACTATGAACGTTGTATATTTTTTTAGTTACGTCTAGTATAGACAGAATTCACTCTTTTTAACGCCATAGAGTTTTCACTGCGAAAAGAACATTTACGTGCTACATGATGGTGTGCCAGCTAATAGTTAATGAAATTGGCATTAATCTAATTTTTTAGGCAACTGATACTATTTTTATGGCCATATTTACACATTATAAATGGGAATGTTTTATTTAATAACTCCTTTTCGAACTCTTATTCTGAAAGGATATAAGGGGAAGAAAACTTTCAAACAACTACCGAGTTGTTTCACACTGCTTGGTCGAAACGGATAATGTACAATTTGAGAGATGTCATGGTTCAGTTAGAGATGTGTTCTAGGAATCTCTACTTCTAAGTCAACTAAACGACGAATTATACACAAGGGAAAATAAAAAACACGATTTTCCTTTCAGCTTCCTTGATTGCATCATGTTCCCCAAGAGCAAAATGGGTAAAACATGGTGAAATCAGCTTCCAGGCTCATTTTTTGACAAGAAGTGTTCTTGTTCTTAAAACTTGTGTCTCTTTGTATTCTCGAACTGAAGAAATTGATATCTTACAAAAGAGTGAGATTTCTTGAGCTGCGAAATAAAGCTTTCTTTGTGGTTAAAACCTTAACAAACAAAGAAAAAAGAATTTTTTATGGAACTTCCTCATGTTTTACGAACCACGCTCTGTAAGCAAGTTTCTTGTGCCAGTGCACGATTCTATATACCGAGCATTCAATGCATTCGAAGAATCACCGCGGGTGGTTGTTTTACTATTTCATGCATTCAGCAGAAGTGATGTGGGTATGGTTATGTTTCAACTGTCCAATTTCGACATAATTTTATCGTTTACCTTGTTATTGGAAATTCAGTATTTGAAGTTAAACAAACATAATTTAAGTTCAAGTTTAAGTTCAGTTTATTTTGCTATATGCATTGCTGTAACAATGAGAGAATCTCAAGAATCTCAGTGTACAAACTACACCAGGAAAAAATAAAGTGTTAAATAATCTCAAAAAATCAAAGTAATTTGAGAACCAACAGTAAATATGTACAAAAGGCGAGATAGAGGGATAGAAGAAGATATAAACAACACAAAAAAGAATGAAAAGGATGTGTATTAAATGTAAAATTTGGATCTGTCTTTTTCGAGTACAAATATAGTCGTTTTGAGAACGATCGAAAATAGATAATGTGGGTGAGTTAACAATATGAGATGAAAGCTTGTGTCATTAACGTTTTACCGATCAACAAGTAACTGATGAGACACATGTTCTATTGATTCAATGTTAGATATGCAATGATTCTGCCAATGGATGTAGAATATGAATGGAAGCCAATCGATTCTGAACAAGTATGCATATGTATTACGTAGTAGTTGCGATAAATGAGTCACAAACTGTGTCTGTGTACATGATATAAATGGCAAGTAAAATTTTTTTTGATACAAAAACTTGGTAATCATGTAACATTATAGAGGTCGTGTCACGACCGCCTCGATTAAATGAAGAGAGAGTGCCTTGAACTAGGAGATTGTCGTAAATTTCAACCTTAAGGGTCTCCCTGTCAAAAAATGCAATTTTCGTCAAGAACACCGATTTTTAGATTTATTCGTGATTGAATAGCCCAAATTGTCTATTTCTGAATGTACCATGACCTTTTTGTTTTAGATGGTTTCCAAGTTTTTCTGAACCGTCAAAATCAGAAACAATGATTTTTTCCGCAAAATTCAGTTATTGAAGTCTTTTGAGCTTCACTATAGGTTTCCCGACTATGAAGAATATAACCGACATATGCATTCGTATAAGTGAATTTTTTCCTCATATTTCTTTGCTATTATCCGATTTTGATGGAACGATATCAAATATACTGCACATGTCTCTGTGTGTGTTCATTCAATTCCCTATAGTCGATAATCTCTGACGAACTACACTCAGTTTTTTCCTATACCGCTTTATGAAGAAAAAAGTTGGTTTTTAAAGTAAAAACTTGTTATGCGTTTTTACCGATGTGTTCTTTTTTATTTTTTTACCTGTTCGTGCGACAAAGACTTCTCTGCCATTTTAATTACTAGAAAACTCGAGAAGCTTTTAAAATGAAGCGAAGACTCAGCACTACAACTTGACAGGATTGGATTTTTGATTTTCAGTTTTTGAGAAAAATGAAGTTTTTCGAAAAGTTGGACATAACTATTACCAACTCCTTCAGAAAAACTTTCGGTTCTGGGATGTTCTGGGACAAAAATAGGTTTCTAACAGAGGGAGGGACCCATAACCTTAGAGGACATCCAATGTCGCTGACTAGCTTTTTATGTGTCTGTGAAAATTCGACAACAAGTGAAGCGCAGTATTCTTTTCGAAATAAAATTCGATACAAAGTTGAGTACATCTCCTTAGTGTGATAATTCGCCTCTTATCACCTTCATTCACAAGAAAACCCAATTCTTAACGTCAATTGACGACAATAAATCATCCGATGTGACAGCAGATTGTGTGACAAGAATATACATGTAGGTTAAAAAACCTTCACCGTTCACGCCGTCATTCTGCTTACGTAAGGGAACGCTAGGGGCTTTTGCTTGTTTTCGTTCAAAATAATAGGTTGAATAACGAACTAAGAGGATTTTCTGTTGATTACCCCATGTAATGAAAATTGCGAGAAAATCGACGATTTGTCGTGCCGATTAATTGTGAGATTTCATCGCGAGAAAATCGCTCAAACTCACGATTTTTTCATTACCAACCAGTTCGAGCATTCTTTTCTTTTCGATTTTCCTATTCTTAATTTTCATGTGATAAATATGACCGATGGAGTGCAATTTCATGCCCGATATATCGTGAGATTATGTTATCTGGGCAGTTTTTATTGCTCTTCTTTTCAAAACGAAAATATCAAAGTAAAAAAAACAAGTAAAATTGTATAGTTTCCCTTGTTTTTGTTTACTAACTGTGTTTATTGAAGTTGTCGCTAGTTCAGAGAACACTCTAGACGTGTCTCAAGAAACAATTGATTTAAAAAGAAAAGTGGTGAGATATAACTACGATTCTTTTGTTTCTTCTTGGTGATCCGAAATGTTAATTGTTAGTATAATCCTTTTAATAGAATTGCTTTTACATAATAAAGTATTTCGAATGAGCGTACAACTCAAATAGCTTTGTGCAACATGAGAAAGCGCAGCAAATCATCGAATTTAGATGTCCTTACGTCTAAGAATATTGTATAAATCTCACTTATCTGTATGACTAAATAGATAACAAAACATACTGTTGCGAACATTAAAATAGAGAAATCTCTGTATATCGGTTTCATTTTAGTCCATCGAGTATCACAAATAAAACAGCTAAAAAGCAACCCATCATCGGCATCATGAACGCTGTTCAATTCTCGTTCAATCCAAGCAACACCATATCAACCAAGTCCACTTTGCTTCCAATTTAATTAAAAAAAGTTAACATTTTTATTTTCATGAAGCCGAACAAAAAATTTCTCTTGTTCAACGGTAAGTCCGTTAAAATACAATGTTAAATTGTTAATCTATTGATTTGATTTGATAATACAGATAAAACATAAACATAAGTCTTCTAGAAAACTTACTTTTGCTTCTATCAAATTTAACAAATCTTTCTAATTTTGTGGCTGCTAACAAGTAACAATGTTCATTCCACAGCTCCGTATGGACTTAAAATATGAGCATTGTTACGGAAGTTTATCTTTCTTAAGGTGTTATTGCCATTGCCTTGTTAAAATTTACTCTCTTGTTACTTCATCAAAACGACGTTAAGAAAGTAAAATACTTTATCTCTCATAATCGTGTTAGCACTTGTTCTTTGCCATAAAGTCATAAAGTAGCGTTTATTGTGGCTAGTAACAAGTGGTAAAATTGTTTTTGTTACTTATCGCTAATCGCAGAAATGGTGAGGAGCGAGTCCTATTCGGCCCGACACTCATAATTTCAACAGAAGCATCAATCGGTGCAGTCCATACAGAGCTGTGCTGCGGTTCCTACCTGTTACTTGTAATAAAGTAACATACTGTTAAAGTAACATTCTGTTTTTGCAGAACTAGTTCTTTATTTATAAAGTAAATAAAGTATTCTAGATCAGTACACAAAATTAAATACCAGAATTACTTGAGATTGGACTTGAAAAGATCATGCTCTATATTGAAATTATCAAAGTAATACTTTAGGTGTGCTCATAGTTAGAGCAGAATAGTTCTACTTAGCATACTATCACAGCTTTTGTGAGTCAATTTTTATGATTCTTCTCATACTTTTGATGCGGGCGCATTATCACGAATTTATTCTCTGTTCTCTTAATTTCATATTTATTTCAAATAAAACGATTACCTGTACAAGACCATGTGTCTGCCGTCGTTCTCTCTATCACCTCATAGGAAGAAAGATTGTACTTTTATCATTATACTGCACAAATGATCTAACAACAGTAATAAATGAGGACATTCTTTTTCTCAATGAACTCATGCCACTTTTCCTATATATGAAGCAAAAATACATTTCTAAACCATTACAAGTAAGCTACTTCTTCCATTTCAACCATTCAACCACTGTGACGATGTTAACGCCTCCTGTACTTTTTCTCTTACTTACACTAATGACCACTCAAGGACAAAATCACTGTAAGTATTAAGACTAGACAAGGTTTATTCCAACTCGTTTCACCTACAAATTGAAATCTGATCTATTTTGAAAACGGAACGGAGACTGCTCTTGCGAAAGAAAAGTTCGAAGAACACTCGATCTCAGTCTAGGATCAGATACAGGATTTTCTGGTTACGCACTACAGGTTCTAATCACTCATCTTTGAAGAGATGTGATTAGAATTAGGTGATTAGGTTCTAATCACTGCAGAAAGAATACGTGTGAGTATGGATTATGTACTTTGATATGCTAGATCATATAAAATGAATGATCGATGCGATTAGGCAATGTCGCAGCTCAGTCGGCAGAATATATGTGCTGCAATATGAGAGTCCCGCGTCAGTGTTTCGGCTATAGTGTGCATTTTTGCTTCAATTTTTCTTATTTCATGTCTTTATTAGCACTATACAAACGATCAACAATATGTAAAAGGACTATATCATCAGCTTGTATTTTGATACCAGAGACAACCGAAGGACCTTATTCATGGAATACCACAGCACATCGACAGAATATAACGTAGGTTAATTCGTATGACATTATCACTCGATGTTTCAATTCTGTCCTTCTCTAGTGAATCCAAAACAGGTATCCCGTTTCGGCTGTCGATTACAGTAATTGATACCAATAATTGTTCAGAAATTCAAAATGCAGCCGTGGAAATTTGGCAGTGTGATGGCATGGGCATTTATTCGCGGTATGAGCAGGCTAGTACCAATGTTCCCAACCCTCAAACGGACAACACCACTTATCTTCGAGGATTTCAGATGACCGACTCAAACGGCCTAGCCACCTTCGACACCATTTATCCCGGCTGGTATATTGGCCGAGCCACTCACATTCATCTGAGAGTTCGTTTCGGCGGAGTGATTGTCAACTCAACTGGCTTCTATTTAGAGGGGCACATCTCACACACTGGCCAGCTCTTTTTTAACGAAACACTCACTGATCTCATTGCTACTCAGGCTCCGTACAGCAGTCACAATATCACACGAACGAGAATTGATACCGATGGTATTTACCAACAGTCAAATGGGGCCCTGCAACTGGTCTCGATTCAATACAAAAATCCAACGGTTGGATTACGCGAAGGATTAGTTGGAATAGTAACAGTTGGCGTACATTCAAGTAGTACGCCTGATAATAACAATATGGGTGGAGGAGGAACAAGACCGCCGCCGTTTATTGGTGAGTCAACAGTAGAAACTTCAACGGGAAGTACAATAACGATGCTTGCTTCAATACTGGTCATTTCCTTGGCATCTACAGCAACTTCATCAAGCTACACAATAATAAAAAATTGTTTCAGCTTCTGCTTGCTGATAATGTTCTTATGGTGACCACTACAATGACATATCAATAATATTCAGATTTACTTGTTAACCCAACTAACGGAGGAATCGCCTCAGGTGTTACATGGCTTTTTCCTCTAAACATACATGGTTCTATGTAATTTTTCATGCTTATCATGAATCTGACATCCATTCAAGTTCATATAGTCTTTTGAGTGGATCTTTGAAAAACTGGTCTATGGAGATCCATCTTTAAATCCAAGATGAAGACTTTTTGCACAATCCGTCTTCCATGAAACATTGACTTATCTGTACGAAAACATTTTCATACCTGAAAGTCTAGTTTGGGATGAATTCGGGGAACCTTAGATGTCAGTTTTCTGATTACACTTTTAGTTTTGTTTAGTGTACGATCCTTAAACTGAACTTTTAGGGATGAAAATGTTTTCGTACAGATAAGTCGATGTTTCATGGAAGACGGATTGTGCAAAAGCTCTTCATCTTGGATTTAAAGATGGATGTCTTGAGATCAGTTTTCCAAAGATCCACTCAAAAGATCATATGAGCTTGAATGGATATCAGATTCATGATCGGCATGAAAAGTGACATAGAACAATGTTTTTTTCGAGGAAAAAGCGATGTAGCACCTGAGGGGTTTCTTTCGTTAGTCTGAATAACTTTTTTAATTTGTTAAATGTTCTATCTTGTATATAAACGCGAAAAGAACAGGATTCAGGCAGTCAAGTCCTTAGTAACAGAAACTTCCACTAGAATAGAGCGAAGAAACAGAGTGAACTAATATTTAAAGCACTTTTTGCATAGTACGTCACTAAACCCTATTCTGTTAGCCTTCACAACTCCGCTCATGATCTCTGGCAAAAACAACTCTGCAGAAGTATACTTCGAAGTAGCGTGTTTTTTTTCATTTATCATAGGTTAATTTGAAACACGACCCCTATCTCAAAATGTTCGATTTGGACCGATTTATAAAAGTTTTCCTGTATGCCGTAAAACTGAGGTTGAACGGCGATGATTTCTGGTAAAATCGATAGAAGAAAAGACATTCTTACACAACCGATTGTGCGATGAAAAGTTTTAAATATAGCCAGTAGAGAGAACCTTTCAAGCGCTACAAAATAGTCATTTTCTCTTATTCTGTATCGAAAATTATAAAAGACTAAAATTGAAGAACTATTTTTTCGATTTGGGAAGTAGCGGAAGTTGAAGCTTCGCAGTATTTCGCCTATATTCTTTTATTTATACGCCGTATAAAAACATGTCCAATTTGATTTTTGTAGCGAATGGAACGACGAATAGTTTTTTAACAGAGTTGAAACGTGGTTAATGAAGATTAAAAGAGATATTGGCAAAATACGACGATGGCCATTCTTTATGGTCCATCTGTTAAAAAGGAATCGGTTACAAATGCAAAAGAAAAAATGTATGTCATACGTTCGAGAGCTAGAACAATCCTACTTTTCCATTTAGGGTAAGAGCATTGTACGATTGTTCCAAAATAATTTTAAGCAACCGATACATGTTTAAATTTTATACATAAAAAGAAAAGCTGGATAATGACGCTGTTGTCGATCTGTTCTTATTTACTGGGAAAAGTTTATCATTAAAAATACGCCAACGAGATATTGGAAATCCACTTCAATTTCCGTTTAATCAAAAACCTTTTGAAGAAGAAATGTCGTGAAAAAAGATTTAGACTAAGCAAACATGCAACATTTCAATCAATTGTTCGATACTTTAATGTTGGTATGGCAACGGAAGACCAAAAATACTCACATACTTCATTAACATCTTTAAACCTTTCACCGATAGCGACACAGCTGAAACATGCCTGTGAAGATTCTGTAATATCTTCTATTAAACATTATACTAAACACTGCATTTGAAACGATTGGCATCATCCGGAAATCGCCGTCGCCGCGGATTCTTATATGTTAAAGTGTTAAAGTGTTAAAGTGTAAAAGGATAAACGTGCATAACTGAGGGTGAAGTAGTGAGGATGAGGGTGGAGCACTTCTTCACCCACTTCACTCTCACCTCTCCACCCTCACCCTCACTCGCCGCGAGTTCGTATATGTTAAAGTGTTAAAGTGTTAACGCTAAAGTGTTAACACTTTAACACTGAATCCGCGGCGACGGCGATTTCCGGATGTTATGAAACGATTAGCAATTTAATTACATGAATATTTCTCATCTTTCAAATTTTTCGTATACTTTTAATGATAACTGCACTATAAAAAATAAGTGTACTTGGTGCACTGTGTATAATGAATGTGCACATCACGTTTTTTGCACACTGAAAATGGCTTGTTCACTGTACCTGTAACACACTGAAATTGCACATATAGCTTCCACAGACAGAAACGAGAAAGAAGATCGACAAGAAGAAGAATTCTTTCGTTTTTTTCATAGAAAAAACGCAAGTTAAAAATTCACAATTTGATAATTTGCACATCACTTTGAACTCGAAATGTACACTTGGAGAAATGCATAATAGCGGCACGCTTTATTTGTATAGTTTGAATAGATGATAAACTAGTAAAACTTAATAAAATGGCTGCTACACACTTTTTCACCAAAAATAACTTAAAACACATTTTTAAACAACAAGAGTACTCGAACATACATATTTTTATATGAATTTAACATGTGAAAATGCATTTATTTTAACTATGAAACAGAAAGAAAAAACGAGTATAATCGTTTGCTTAAATTTAATAAAAAGTTTATGTAAGAAGTCTTATATTCAGCACTTTTGATTTTTACAAGCCATTTTTTTTTAATACGCACAATAAAGTAACAGTAGTAATCTTCATTTTATTGAAATATATATAATTAAATTAAAAACGAAAAATTTTCAACGTATATATTTCAATAAAATGAAGATTACTGCTGTTAATTTATTATGCGTATTAAAACTTTATTATGCGTATTAAAACATTTTTTTTTAGATAGAATAAAATGTTTTAGATAGCAGTGCAACTGAGATTCTATCTCATCGATCCATATAAAAATATCTAAGATCGTTTCCATCATTCTTAATTCATTCATAATAATAAACATTTACATTTACTAATTAGATAAAAGTTTTGTGAATCTAATGGTAAGATTTGTATTATCTAATTTAGATAGCAAATGATTAAGTTGTGAAAAATGCATTCAACTTGAGTCATACACGTACTAAATATTTATCAGATGTTTGATAACATTTGCCAACAGAGGAAAAAAAAGATATTAACTATTTGATAGAGCTCTATTAAGATTCCCAATCACTATGCTTTCAAAATTTTACTATCTAGTCAACATAATAGAGCATTAAAAGTTTTCTCATGGACTCCGATTCATATAAGCGTTTTTCGTGTCTGCCAATCAAACTATTTACATCCAAAGTAAAATTTCTTTTTCTTTTATCATGATTTAACCAGCTCTGATGGGGAGATTTTAGATAAGTATAACAATGAAATAAAGAATGAGAAAGAGATAAGAAGAGATAGGAATATATCGTACGACTATTCCACATTTTTACTTTGCTCACGTTTGGAATGGCATTGTGTGCGATAATCGCTTTGTCACATTGGCAATATTTAGTAGCACATTTTGATTTATAGTCACACGTTACCTCGTTCACAGTATCACGAATATACAATTTACACGCTCCTATAAAAGAAATATCTTCAAATTCTTCAACATCAGTCACGATTCTGATTTTAATTTCGATTTTTGAATGTGATTGATGTTGAAGCAATTGAAATTGGTTTAAAAACAAAAATGGCTGCTGATCCTTGTTTATGGAAACTTTAGTTATGTATGGGTCAGTGTTATAACTCTATGAATAATATTGAAGAATCACTTAATTATTTTAAAAAAGTTGAATTAATTTATCAAACAACAAGTTTTAGAAAATTATATACCTCTATATTCATCTGTAGCTTCGTTATATTTTACATTTGGTGAATGTTATGTATATTTGAAGAATTATAAATTAGCTATTGATTATTATACAAGAGCAATTTCAATTGAAGTTGAAAGTAGTCAAATCAATTATAAACGTTTAGAATATATTGATAAAACTATAGTTAAATGTATTGAAAGTCATCGATAAAAGTCGTTCTACCACAGAAGAGAAGAGGTAACATATATTAAAGAATAGAGAAATTGAGATGGACGGAAGTATGAAAGAAAGAAAACGGCCCTTAAGGACGATTTCTTATTGAATTAGACAATAATAATGAAAAAGAAATTACATATAATAAAAAAGCTTTTGAGTGTTCTTTGATGACAATGGACACATTAACTAGCAATAGTGCATGGAATATCGATACAAATAAAGGTAATGGTTATATCGCAACACAAGTTAGTTCGAATGATATAGGACAATTATATGGTGATGTTACATGTAATAAAGATACATGTCGTATACGTAATCTTGATGATTGCTTAACTGAGAATATCGTTGAAGCAGCATGTGGTTCTATAAAAATGTTATTTAATCCAATTAATTTATTGGTAACGCTCATTGCTCTATTCATCAGAGGTGAACAATGGATGAGGATCCTCACGAGGCCACGCGGAGAATCGCGGGGAAGAATTTTTGAAAACTTGACGAGGGAAGGAGCGGTGAGAGGCACGAACTCATGGCGAAGCCCGCGGGGGACATTTTTTGCTTCTTAGCAAAAGACGAAATGAAGACGCTGGACGGAATTCTTTTCAGTTCACTTGAAAAATTTAGTAGAGGACATACATCTACCGTACACACTGCAGTTTCCTCAAGTGGAAGCTAAAGCTCTAACGGTAACAGTTGTAAAGGATATTTCTATCCTATTTTATTTGTTCTCCTGTCTTCGTATTACGTGCTCTGTATATAAGATATCCTAGTTATTTGATTTTCTCTTTTACGGATTTTCTCTCTCTCTCATTTTATTCTTTGACCTATTCCTCTTTGTTAAATTGTCAATAGAACAATCTATTCAGTTTATCTTCTCTTTTGTTTTCTACTGTCGTTCTAATGTTCTTTCGTTCTCTTGCGCATATGTATATCCAGGGTTGGTCATCGGCAATTTGCTATTATTAACATCTTAATGTTTAGTGCACCAGACTCAGGAGGATCGATGAAGAAGTGCCGGCGAAAAACTTTGTCAATAGCTGATGCTGAACGAGGCGATGACGGGGCGGGGCCCGCGGGAACGAATTTTTGAAAACTTGACGAGAGACGGGGCGATGACGAGGCAAGAACTGCACGAGGCGAAGCCGGCGGGAGATCTGTAAACAGTCCATCGCCCACCTCTGCTATTCATCTATTGGCATAAATATTAATTTCATTAAAGAGAAAAATATCTTTCTTATTGTTACTTCATAATCAAACTAACAAATAAACAGAAAACTTGAAACATACAGCATGTAATTTCGCGCTGTTGAAGTGAAACACTTGAGCGGTTAGAGAAAGTGATATTTTCAATATATAAATTTGCTACAATGTCTCCTAGATAGTAGTTGAAGTTAGACAACATCCTTAACTGTCCAGAATCTAGTAGAATTTAATAACAAAATTTGAATTTGCTAGCGGGCACTGCTTTACGGTATGACAACAACTACCAGCAGAAAAATTATGCTGTGTGTCTCGATGCCAAAATTACTACAGTTGATTTGTGACTGAAGAAATTACAACGAATGGGCATCGATCCTACGAATTTGTTTCCAAAAAGTATATATCCCACTTCCTAATACACAAAAAACAGGTAAAACGCCACCAATTTAAAGTTTTCATATCAATTTATATTTGATTTATATACACACAGTTGGATAGCCTGAAAGCTGAGGATTACGAATATCATACTATTAGCTTAAAAAAACTTCATCTTCAGGGAGAAAAAACGCAAACAGTGAGAGGGTACAAAAAATTAAAAAAAACATTAAGTTTGAAAAGTTTCTACTTGCGAGAATATTATACTGGACAGTTTCTGTATTATGGATATATGGTTATATTGGTTTGAACAAGTGAACCAGAGCCACCCCATGAGATCCAAAAACTGATATTTAACAGAGTACCGGGTACAGTCTGAAATGTTTGATAAACATAATCCAGACTGCCGACAACTCCATCGTTATATGAATAGGTACCCGAATTTGGATTACCTGCTCCTACATGAGCAGCACCTTGCCAAGGAGATAATGAACCAGTTTCAAATCCACCATTTGACAATAATTGTTGTGTTCCATTCATTACTGAGACATCATCAACAGATGTTGAGGCTGGATCATTTCGAAGTCCGAATGAAATAGTTTCGGTAGTTGATTCTGCTGTATAAAGCCAGGCTACTTGAAAGTACACTGGGATTGCACTACATGCATTTGTAAATGCTAATAATGGTGTTCCTGGTGTAAGCATCGTATTACCTAAACAAATAAAATGTGCCCCTTTCCAATAATCTGGTCATGGATCAAACAACGACATAGACACCATCCACAAAATCCTCGTCACACTGCTCGTTCCCAACAGTTAACAGATTTCACTGTTAAAGTTTTTGTGTTCAAAGAAGGTTATTTCACAACAAAGGTTAGATTGTTTGAGCGAAGCTAGTCGAAGATTTACCATCATCGTGGACTACTCAAATTCAAAAAGTTCTATTCTTCTATGTACTGTATTGACTTATTACTAGATATTGGGTTATATTTTAAATAATAGGTAAATGCACAAACTGAGATATATATACAGACCTGTTGGCCCTGAAGGAGTCCAACACGGTGCGGTTGTTGAAATTGGGGTTGTTGTTGTCGTCACTATTGTTGTTGTTGCCGTTGTTGCTGACGGGTATATGGTTATGTTGGTTTGAACAAGTGGACCAGAGCCACCCCATGAAATCCAAAAACTGATATTTAACAGAGTACCGGGTACAGTTTGAAATGTCTGATAAACATAATCCAGACTGCCGACAACTCCATCGTTATATGAATAGGTACCCGAATGTGGATTACCTGCCCCTACATGAGCAGCACCTTGCCAAGGCGATAGTGAACCAGTTTCAAATCCACCATTTGTCAATAATTGTTGTGTTCCATTCATTACTGAGACATCATCAACAGATGTTGAGGCTGGATCATTTCGAAGTCCAAATGAAATAGTTTCGTTAGTTGATTGCGCTGTATAAAGCCAGGCCACTTGAAAGTATACTGGGTGTGTATTACATGGATTTGTAAATGCTAATAAGGGTGTTCCTGGTGTAAGCATCGTATTACCTAAACGAATAGAATGTGTCCCTTTCCAATAGATCTAGTCATGCCTCAAACAGCGACATAGCCACCACTAGGCCAAGGCTCGATTACCCACCCCTTTGCAATTTCGTTCTATCCAGTTTGCGTTGAAAAAGAAACATTTTGATTGAAGTCAGAAAGAAAAATATTATACAAGAACTTATTTTAGGTTTATTACGATTTTTTTCATTTTCTGACAATATGAAATTGCAAGAAACAAGTCGAAGGTTACAGTTCGGCAGCAAAACTTAGAAAGTAGAGCATCAAAAACAATTTCGTCGAACACATACCAAAATCCTCTCTATGTTCCGGGTTCCCAACAGTTAACAGATTTCACTGTTAAAGTTTTTGTGTTCAAAGAAGGTTATTTCACAACAAAGGTTAGATTGTTTGAGCGAAGCTAGTCGAAGATTTACCATCATCGTGGACTACTCAAATT